TTAACAACCTTTATAACACACGCTATAAATCACAGCGATTCACACACTTTACTTAATTATCTATCTCTGTCCTTGCGCTGGTTTTTCTAGCCAGGCTTATACACTAAAGAAAAAGAGGGCACCTGGCAAACACTAGGACATTCGCGGAGTTCCTCGATAATTCATAACCCTTCTAGAAACTCCAGCGCGCATGCTCCCAGCGTCGCATGACTTGCGCTGTCGTAACAGTATTATATTCTTGACTACTCGAGGGCTATCTAATTTAGAAGTAATAAACCAGAAGGAAATCAGCCAGTCAACACCACCCACCGCCAACTCTTGGACCATTTTTACTTACGTAAAGTGGGTTTGATCGTCACATGATAGCGTTTCCACGGCTGAGCCTGTTCGATGGTCTGAATTCAAACCCGCGACCCGCAGAGCGCCCTAATCACCAGGTGCTAAGATTATTAGCAAACTGACACTTAACTTTTTGCAAACTTCTACAAATCTAATTTCTACAATAAACAGTACGAAACTGGTTTATATTTATAACCAGTTATTTGTTTCACAATAAACATATTAATCGTACTTTCAACTCATCATGGAATTAAATAACAGAGGATTTAATTATAACAGCTGTAAGTAAATCTGGCACTAGTTCATTTTCATGACGTTGAGAAGTATTTAAGATGGTTATGAAGTGGATTCGAACAATACTGAACTGATGATGTAGTGTGTTTTATATGAGTACATGCCGTACTAAACACTTAAAGGTGAGTGTCATACATTTATTGAATCAAGACGATACTATCATCACAATAATCTTTATTTCCAGCAAAATAAATGAATCAGAACATACAATGTGAAGTATTAAAAAAAAAATCTGAACTAAATGTTACACTTTCATCAGAAAACGAGTTAGACCCAGTAAAACTGCACAAGTCCTAAGTACAAAGACATTTGCGGTGGATAATAAAAACAGAATTAATTATTATTATTATTACAAGCAATACATCTTGAACTTTCATAATAAATAGTAATTGTGATTCATTATTTCAAAATTCACAATGATCAAATAACTCTCCGTATTTCAACAGTAAAACTGTAGAACTTGAATCAAAAACCCAGCTATTGGTGAAAGCACGTTTCATGAAAAGTTAGGCCTAACTAAAACCAATGCTCTTAAATCCCTTGGTTTAATTAATATTTCGAGGAAATTCGGTTTTGCAGATAGCTTGGCATCATCTTAAAATTAATAAATCTCTAAAAATACTTGTAAAAAAATTACTTGTAACACTTCGTTTGGTAAGAAGATGGGTTGAATATATTGGGACAAGATTTATTCATTAGACAGAAATAATCAACCTTCATTGGAAAACAATACTTAACCACATATAACAATTCTAAAACCGTTTGAGTGAA